TTTTTAGATAAAATAACTAAATTATGATGATGTATGTTATTGTTTGCTGTCTGATCTGATTTTAAAAGCATGTGTACTATTATATTGCATTATGTTGATCTGTTTTATATTCGTTAAATGTGGACGTCACCTTGTGTCGAAACAAGAAAAGGGAAAACATGTAAAAATTTGTTAGGATATTATCTCTGAGGGGCTTCTGTTTTTATTTTTAGTTCTCCTTTTGTTTCTACCTTTGTCTTTGAATCTGAATCTGTTGGTGAACCGCTCCCTATAAATGACGAACGTTTCCTCTGACGAGAGTGGATACATGTAACCGTAGGTAGGGACCATTGTGGCGACGTACGGTCGTGGTCATATATTCTACCCTTATTTGGTATGGCACATCGAAACTTGCTGATATGATATGATCTGGCATCATTCACAGTGGTAGTTAGGAATCCCTTCTGCCCTCAGTAGATATATGTTGTAATGGTTTTGCTCGAAAAAACAGTAAAAGACGTAAAAATAGGAATATTTCTTATGTTGTGTTCTCTGGCTATTGCTTTTTTGTTTGATAATAGATTTTAATTTTGCCTATCATTATGAATAACTCTTTTTTTGCTATGTTAAAAGGGTTTTTCTTAAAAGAACAACTATTTTCTAAATATTTAACCCTATCCTTCTGCCATGGATCTCTGAGGTATGTATTTATTGGGAAAACATATTTGTTTGAGGTTAATAATCTTTAAAACCTTAGCAATATAATCTTAATACTATTTTCCTTACTGAGTTTCATAGAACTCACCATTTCCATGTTGGGACCTCCTAAATGATGATAATGATGAGCCGCCCACAGTGTTGCCTCTCGAAGCCTACTTTGACTCTTCTTTGGATCCTTAGCGTACTTACGAGTGCTTATTTGTCTGCACTCTGATAAATTGTGTTTTTGTAATTAAGTAACTCTTATGTGTGTATTTATTCGATGACTTTTGTTGGTCCTAGATGTATAAACACTCATCTTATATTTTGGTTGTAAAGGATTTCTAGCTGTCGTTATATACATTTTCTATTGCACTTGTATTTCTTTTATCAAGCACTCTTATATCCCATCAAGTATTTGAGATGTTACAACTTGGTATTAAAGCATGACCCTCAAAAAATTCCTTATATTAGAGCTTATAGTTAGACATAAGAAGTCTTAGAAGGTTTTTAGAATTAGGAATAACATTATACCAATCACTTGTTATTTTTTGTGTGTAGGCTTAATAACTCATGGGAGGCCATACGTAGACCACACTGAGTCCCAGGACGCCTTGACTAGGGCCAAATTTACGAAACTCTTTTGAGCTATTCAAAGCTTGACTGCCGTAGTGGGTCACAATCAAGCCCAACATGACTAGATCATACCATGGGAGAACTTTACGACTGGCTTTCTGGAGAACTTTTTCTCGATATACGTTTGGGAGAAGAAGGAAGAGGAGTTTTAGGACCTATGTCAGGGAAACCTGACTGTCAATTAGTACGCTACCAAATTTATTCAGTTATCTCGATCGCTCCCATGATGGTGGCCACAAAAAGCCAGAAGGCTTGAAAATTCATGAGAGGCCTCAAAGTAGACATATATGATCTCATCAGAATCCTGAAGTCCAGCACCTATACGGAGGCACTTGAGCACACCCAGACGGCCGAAAGAATTATTATAACTCGGTGACAATACCTCTCCTATTTTCATGTACAACAGCAATAATAGTAGTAGAGGAGGAGGCCTGTTGGCCTTGACTCTGGCCGCGTTAAGAAGAGATATCGCACGACACCTATCTATACCCTCACCCACCTCTTGGTAATCCTGTCCAGTCTACTTGATCTTGTCGTCATTGTGGAGAGGATCACGGTGATCGCCCCTACCATTGTCTTAACAACTCCTGCTCCAAGTGCGAGAACACTCAACATTTCACACAGGACTATCACTGGCAACCTTGGGACATGGTCTGACCTCTTGCCAAATTGAGTTTACCAACTCGATGAGTCT